CGAAGCCGGGGCGGGCCGCTAGTATCTTTTAGGATATAGATCTTCGATCTTAAAAAAATACATTGGTTTTTATTTAAATGTTGATAACAAAATACTAAATTGAGACAATTTTCAATTTAAAAACAGTACTGATTGTTCTTCCTTCAGTTTCAACTTTGTAATTTTTCTTGTCCATTTCATATTAACTACCTTAAAATAATTAATGTTTACTTAATCGTTTGCCTTCCGCTCGGCCTTTCATGGCTGACCTTAAACTTATCCTTACTGTCATTGTTAAGTAATACGAGTATATGAAGACAGGTTTTCAAGTTGACATGTGATACGTAAGCTCTTTCGTTCCCATTCATGTAAAACTTTTGCGCAGTGTCATTATTTTACCTGTTTCTTAATTTGTTGTGACTAGCGACTACTACTGATATTTTTAAAAGACCATAGAAAGACGTTCGTCCTCAGATCATACTGATATTTTTAAAAGACCATAGAAAGACGTTCGTCCTCAGATCAAAAATACGAATTAAATAAGGTACCTAGTAAACCTTCGATTTACGATTTTCTCATAGAGGAATTAATTCCTCTATGGATTTTCTATACCCATTTTGGTTTAGTGATCGAAACAATAACCTAACAAACAAAAGTCAGACTGCTAGACAAAGGTACTTTCGCATATTATTACCACTTTGTGTTATTACTAAGAAAAGATTAAAGCAGTCTGTTTGAATGTAAATTTCATGAATTTCATTTTCATGTCACAGATTTTAGTAGGTACCTACTATAGAATGTGTGTGCGAACATCCTATACTTACAGTGAATGTGTTGTGTAAAATTATTTCCACTGAATTGTATTGTCATTTCGTGTTGTTATTGAAAATTATGTTTATTACCATTTTCTGCATAAAAGAAGATTAACGCCCGTGTATGATTTGAATTAACGAAGAATAACATCAAAATACAAAATAGTTGCAAATTATAATAACAATGCGAAAAATACGTCCGCATCTGCAGAAAATTACCTAAAGAAAATCACTGTGACGGTCAAGGTTGATTAAATGGTTTTCGATTTGGTTGTGAAATAATCTAAAAATAAAATAATATCAGAACAGGAATCCAAAAAACTCTACTCTACACCAGATAATTGCGCGTACACTAAATCCTGGCTCCCTTCGTATGAAAATCTTATCGAGTTCATATCACATATCAAACCCTCCTTTTCTATTACTCAGTTACTCACAAACCACGGATACCATAAAGAATACCTCCACAGATTCAAGATTACTGACAATGACACATGTCGGTGTGATAATATAACCACCCAATCAATGTTGCATCTCGTTCAGGACTGCCCAAGATTTCAATCAACAAGACTTAGCCATAATATAGTTTGCCAAATTTACAACATCGACCCATTCAATTTCCAACAAATTATAACCAAGCAAGATTCCATAAAAACATTTACCACCCACATTGAAAACATAGTTAGCAACCTAAAATCTTTCAACAATTAAAATTCTAAATCACGTAGGAGAGAGCAACGCGTAAACCGATAGCGCCGCGCTCTCTCTGAAATTAAAAATGAACAAATTAAAAAAAAAAAAAAAAAAGTCGTCTACAATATCTAGACTAAACTTATTATAAAGAAGAAAGATTTGATTATTTGTTTTGAATAGGCTCCGAAACTACTGGGCCAATTTTTTCTTTTACCAACCAATAGAATTCATCATTAAGTAGGTATCTCTGATGAACATAGGCTGAATATGGAAGGATAAGTTTGAGCGAGGTTAAAAAGTAGGGGAGACTGGGTACAGTTGAAACAAAGGACGGTTGAAACAGAGCAAATATCTCGTAAACGGTTCCGCGGGGAGTGAGGGGTCCTAGGGGAAAAAGAAGCGGAAGACAGGTCCGAACACGAATTTAGTACCTAATAACTTCCTAACGCGTTGACGTTGTGTGTAAAACACCATTTTGTTTTTTACTACCCAAAGTAAGTATTTTTCTACTACCAACAAAGTAAGTAGTTTACATTAACGCTTATACTACCTGTTCTTTTTATGTGAATGTATCGAGTGTGCGTTTGCGATTATAATGAAGCTTGTAGAATAAGGGCCAGTAACTATTTTTAATGTGTTATCATTAGTGTCGAAACTATAAAGTATATTTTACCAAAAGTGGGGTTGGGGACGGTTGAAACATTTTTTGTGGGTACGGTTGAAACAGAAAATTTATTAATGTTAATTTTTTGTAGATATCGAGAGTTTGGGTAAGGAAGATTTCCGGAGAGGAAATTGACTTAGTAAAGCATAAGAAGAGGTAATAGCTGGATATTCACTGCGGAAAGCGGCGGAAAAGTATGGTTTGAAAAAATAAAAAAGATTTTCGTTAACTTTATTCAGAATGTTAATATTATTTTATTATTAATGTTTATTAGGTTTGGATATCATTTAGTTAATCATATTTCTGTTATTTTTTTAATGTTTACTACTTATCAAAGGCTAATTAATGTTTTAGAAATATTAAACTTAGACTGATGAATGTCGTCATGTGGTAGGTACCATAATTTTAATATTCGTAGTATTAATTATAAATAAAACACGTTTTATTAGTACTTATTGTATTATTTGTATGTATTTCAACAGATCCCAATCGCTGTTTCAACCGCCCCTGGCATGAGGACGGTTGAAACAAAATTTCTTTTTTTTTAAATTTCGTATATTTCTATAAATAGTAACCCGGGAACTATACTGATACAGCCATATCGTAGCTAAAACTTCACATTTTAATTTCACGTATCGTAATCGTCACTTGGTTATTAAACAACAAAATTATAGACAATAAAAGCAAAATTGTTTCAACCGTACCCAGTCTCCCCTTAACATGAAAATTGCTTCAATACTTACGTTTATCGTGAAAAAGTGATACACATCCATTCTTATGAACTTTCGCGTATTAGTAGGAAGTATGATAGAATAGCTACGATTACTCATACAAAACATGGAATACGTATGTACTCGTAGTAGAAAAATCGCGGTACATTGTTAATAAGGTACTAGGATCAACTTTGTTTTCGAGATTAGCATCAATCACAAGTACTTTAGCTTTACCTAGACGCAGACTACAGACTTTTTGTCAGCTTAAATAGTGGACATGTATGAAAGTGCACACATTACACCAATTTGGTATCGGCTGATTCTTCATGCAAATTAGAATCGGGCACAACTATCGGCCAATAAATGTCTGCGGTCTGCAGGGTATCTTAACCGAACTGTTACTATGTTGTCAAATGCTTCATTGTGGACGTCTTTTGTTTTTTTTACGAGGCATCATTCAACAGCGATGTACGAACTCGGATTCAATCGGCAGTTAAACAATGAATGACGATGGGTTTGTAACGAAGTTGGCGTTATTTTTATCATCTGTTTGCCTAAATAACTACTTACTCTTTATTACATACGAAACTAATAAAAGGATCCTAATGTAGGATTCTAATGAAAGAATTTTTCCTATCGGTTCAGTAGTTTTGGAGCCTATTTAATACAAACAAACAATCAAATCTCTCTTTATAAATATTAGTGTACAAAAAGAAAATAAACAAAATTGGTGGCCTAATAATACTTGTCCTCCATTTGCCAATTTGCTTCTCAATTCAAATAATAATATACTTACTTAGGTAATTTCAATTTTTATCATTATTTATGATTTGCATGTTCTCTTACCAGGTAAAAGGAAGAGGAAAACCGATAGGTCCTATAACTGTAGATTTTCCTTATCAGCAAAATTGCGAATTTATTTAGCCTAATTTTACAGCACACCCTTTAACAGTTTTATTTTATTGGAGGATATTAGCTTAATTTGTTTCTACAAAGTTTAAACTGCAGATTTGATTAGAAAAAACATTATGTTCTAGGTACACAATGTTTACTTATGCAACCCACGTGCAGTAATGTATAGTCTGCCTTCCACATTCCGGAATATATCAATGCAGTATCGAGTTTGCATCAGGCAGTTTTCTTTTGTTTTTATGGCTTTTGTCATTTGTCTTGTCTAGAATAAAACATGTGATTCATTACAGAGAGGTCTGACATCGGTTTAACGTGCCTACGTAATACGGAATCATATTACCTACGTTACTAACCAAGATTTATTACCGCTACAATTATAAACTAAGATTAACCGGCTGGATTTAGTAGAATTTTCTAAATGAGATCTGAATAGAAATCTGAATGATTTCTAGTTCCCCATGCTGGAATGTATAATTAGCAGAAAAAAACAGGATATTATTATTTGCGAGTAATATTAAAGGATCTTAAAGGAAGTTGCTTAATTATGCAATTGATTCATTTAATGATCCTTCATTCAAGATTGGAATCATTGTTGAAGATCAATCTTCAGTACAGGATTCATTTTTTTTGATAAATTCACTAAATTGGATTCGATATGTAAGAATAAGTTTAGGAATAAATTAACTACTTGCCACGGATTTGTAAATGAATAGTCATCAAGTAGATTATGGTAATATAATCTTGATAAGATAATGAAGAAGCAGGCAATTGATATTAATCTTGGGTTTTTAATAGTGCCTGTAATTGATAATTGTATCGAAAAGATAAAATTATTAATACATAGTTATAGATTTGGTTTATTACGTGAGTATTTTGAAATTAATGACACAAATAATAATGTAGTAAGTAGAGTAGACAGTTCGGCACATACTTATTTACTCAAAATAAGTTTATATAAAAAAAGTAAGGAAATAAGTCTGGTTTATATCGCAGGATATCAACAGGTGTTCTTGACAGAAATTTCAAAATATTTGTGTTTCAGTGTTATACTGTAAATAAAAAAGTTAGACTAACCTGGAAAATATAGGAGTTGTAGCGGAAAAAGTATAAGTTTAAAAAGCTGAGTGTAATGTAATAGAAGACATGCTGTTGACATAATATGAACATGTTGAACCAATTTATATGTATAGAAAGATGACTCATTTTAAGCTCAATAATATGATTTACCTCTTAACCTCATTAATCATGTCATCTGTGTTTGGATATCAAATTGAGATTATAATGTGCACATTTGCTAATGTTTTCAACAAACACAGTTTATTTATTTGCTAATTGGTGTAAACACGGCGAGCAAAGCTAATTGGTAGACATGACTACCGAGTTTAATCTGATAAAATATTATGAAATACACTTTATTTTTGGACGATTTCTACTGAGGATACAGCTCGTAAAAATCAACACACATTTCCACACATAACACTTCCTATTTCACTTTGAATACACAAAAACAATAATGTTTATTAAATTGGTGTGAACACAGGCCTGAACCACGTTCAGTGTTGCCGGCTTAGCGACGCGGTACGGAGCGTATTCCTGAAAGTTAATGTGAAACAATTGAATACTGACCACTGAGTGCCGCCATATACTCCCTCCATTTTCGACTGGTGCCCATTGCTGATACACTCACTAAGTTTTAACATTTATGATCTGTGGTTACTGTGTTTTGCACTGGAGGAGCGGACGCGTTGTGTCATGCCGGTCTAATTTTGTAAGCCACGTGCTGTCTGCGTTTCGCCGCAAGCGCGAATGGTTTAGTTGAACGCACTACAGACAATAATGTTCCCGTTTTGTTGACTGTCCCAGCTGTCAATGTGACGCGGCTCGACCGTGGCGTGGCGCCCTCTCAGTGCGTGTGTTCACTCGCTTCTGATAACTATTTGCTTTATCATTCTTTGTCGCGCGTTGCCACACGATAACGTCACCGGGTAGCCGGCTGTAGGTTTGCCTTTGAACCGCAGTTTTAGGTTAATTGGTATTCATGGCAATTCGTTGTGTGCATAAAATAATACTGAATTATTTTCCTCTTTGGGGAATCTATACTAATGTAAGTACTTATTCGGTGCTTAGCTGCCAAAGTAGCATATGTACTGCGAATAAGAGATTCCATAATAAAATTTATAGCATTCAAGTATTTTTCCGCAGATCACTTAAATCATATTTTACTCTTTGAGCGATTTCACAAATAGAATTCTGGGACATTTTTCATACTTAAAGAGTGAGAGACGTCATTGGATCGGCATAATTTATGATTTGACGTATTTTCACTCTTTGCTTAATCATCTTACTTTAGGAATTACAAGGTGGCCAGGGAAATCTTCTGACCATGAAAATGTCTTGAATGAATAAAATAGGTTAAACTTAATTATATTAAAGAACCTCATTTCAAGTTTGCGCCAGAAAGTTGTGACTTGTACAAGTTTTTTCTTCTAAAGTTAGAATAATTTATCGCTCTTGAACAAGTTCAACCCAAGCCCACCTCTTCCATTTTTACCTACTAAATAAAGAAGCGTAGGTCGGATAATATATTATTGGGTAAACGTAAGTTTATTTGTAGTTCTCTTGGAAACAGTTTTTCTAAGTTCAAGTTCCGGGGTAAATTATATGACCCGTATGTACATTTGAAAAATTAATTCAGTAATGTTGTCTAAGTTCTAATTTATTGTATGTAATCGTTTTCAAAAATATTTATTAATTTTTCAATATACCTATATTGTGAAAATTGAATGGTATGCTGCGTTTCATTTAACGGTTAATTTCATTCCAACGTTGAACATATCGCCGTAAAATTCAGATGGCGATACAAATCCTTTATCGAAGGTTATGAAGTTAGAAAATTCTTTAATAGTTTTTGTTTCTGAAAGAGCCGTGTATTAACCTCTAAAGATAAAGGGAGATAAGGGAAGTAACAGACTAACTTTATTACAAAAGCTGATAATTACAAAGAATAGGTACAAGGTTTAAGAAATTGATAGACATAAATTAGTAGACCTTGTTTTAAGTAAAGTTGATTAGTTAAGTTTGTTGAATCGCTGGTAGGACCCAAAAGTTAAAGAGACATGTAAAGCGGCACTATATTTTTTTGAAGTTTATTCATACGAGTACGTGCGATAAATAAGTTTGTCTCGAGTCTGGAAGCGCTGATAGCCGGGCCAAAAGATAAGGAGATATTTAAAGAGTCCCTTAAAAGGGTAACTCTTTTTTGGTTTGATGGTTTGACGATCATTAATAATAATATGTGCCAAATCTTGGTCAAAATTGAATCATCATCATCATCATAATTTCAGCCATAGGACGTCCACTGCTGAACATAGGCCTCCCCTAATGATTTCCACGTTGATCGATTGGTAGCGGCCTGCGTCCAGCGCTTCCCTGCTACCTTTACGATGTCGTCGGTCCACGTTGTAGGTGGACGTCCCACGCTGCGTTTTCCGGTACGCGGCCTCCACTCCAGAACCTTGTTGCCCCATCGGCCGTCAGTTCTGCGTACTATGTGCCCTGCCCTTTGCCACTACAGCTTGCTAATCCATCGGGCTATGTCAGCGACTTTAGTTCGTTTACCGAAAACAAAACAATACATACAAAACTGAATAAAGACATTTAATTTTAAAATGTTATTATTGTTTTCTACGTTTATATCATAGTTGTATGACCAAGTGCGGTTCGCCGCCAACCGCTTTCATGGTCATTCTCATACAACCAGGTCGATTAATATCCAGCACAGTCTATTGTTCGTATATTTACTTTCCACTTGATGCTGTCACGAATAATTTACGTAGCACTGTAAATGGTTTATTATCGAACTAAGAAAAATATTTTGTTAGCACAGAGTTTAGTTACCACCTGTAAAAACAAAAAAAAAACACATCACACTCTACATTTTTGCTGCAAAATAGTCTCTATCACAAGGGCATAAGATCTTACAGAGTTTAGCTTGATGAGCTGTCGTCTGTAGGTCTATGTGGAAAAACATACTTTTCTGGTTCTTGAAGAAAAAGTTCAAATAGCAAATTCTAAGAAACTCACAACAAACTTCTTATGTCTAAGTTTCCAAGATTTGTCTGTATCTCTAATGACTTTAGAAAGTTCAATGACTTTTCGGCTTAATATTTTTTATTGATACTTAATATTTGTTGACGCATTAAACAATAACGTAATAACCTATGTTCATGTTACTGACATTTTCAAATTAAAATGAACAAGAGTAACAATACAATAGCGTGCGTGAAATTCAGAAATTAAACGATATTGATTTCATGAACTTCAGTGCGAATTTCGTATATTTTTAACAATTAAAAAATTATCGCCATCATAACACACCAGACTTAGCCTTGTTAAAATGTAAATACATGCAACACGTGTCAGTAAAAATGTTTAAATAGGTTCGTCTTCAGTTTAAATAATAAAATAAAAAGTTTAGCTGTTATGGTTGATTTTTCTTTGACTTGCACACGCAAATTCCACGAAACAAAGGTACGAGTACACGATCTCGCTGGTAATAAGAATAGCTTCCTGAAACTTATAAAATTTAAATTCACAGGAATCATGAGTTACCCATCTATAAATACTGTACTAATACTATTATAGCTTCAATATTTAGTTAGCTATAATCCTAAGTAAGCGAGAATGACTAATCGAAGTAATTTGAAGAACAATTAAATTGAAACCAACTTCGAGTCATTGTGCATTGTTACAAACAAAAAGAATTTTAAAATAAACAGGATAATGACTTTTACTGAAGTAAACAGACTTGCTCCTGTAAATACAAGTTATTTAGAAAATATTTACGCATTTAGCGAGCTAATTTTGCTATCAGCAATAAATATTTGAACGATATTTTCATATCGTCCGTTTTGACAGTTTGATTAAAGATACGTGTAGGTATGATGGTCAAAGTAAAAAATGCCTTATAGAAAAAAAATACTCATGATGACATGCAAATTCAAGAGAAATCGATTGGAGAGATTGTAGCCACTTTTTCTGTTTTCACTTGTTCAGATAGAAGTTTCAGTGTGTTTGCAATCTGTTACCAACAAGCAGGTTACCTATTTCCTTAAACAAGATTTGTTGAGGTCAAAGCGCAACAAATTGTTTAAATGTGTTTCCTTAATATTGCAGTGAATGTTGTAAAATTATTATGATAATACTGATAAACTTTCTTGCACTGTTTCTTTTTAGCACTGGCTCATATCATTCTCCTGAAGCAGTGGTAGAGTTAATGTTAAAAAGTTATGTTGGAACATGTTAAAGTGCTCTTTATAACTGAGTTAATGAATTTATACATTTTTAAAAAGTGTTAATCTTAACCGTCACTTCAGGTTTTCCGTTTTTCGGGCAGTTGGTCTTCCCAAGTCACAAAAAATTTTATTCAAGAATCTGATGTGCTATTTGACATCTGCTGTTGTAGTCCTTAAAATTGCAAACTTAGTTTGGCAATCTACTAGAAAATGTCGACCTACTTTTATTGTTAATCTAATTAAAAGATTAGGAGCTATCGATAATTTCGTATCACTATACTTCTGGTATCTGATATGTACTCAGTCGGAGTTGACAGGACGGCAGTGACCACGCACTTGGAGTGACGGTCAAGGTTACAGTCGATCGCTGACCACAGGTAGTCAAATATCAAATGACAACAATAAGTTACCTAACATCACGTGTATCATGGTCCGACAGCACATCAAGCTAGCACCTTATTTGATTGGAATAGATTTGATTTTGCAACTAAAATATAATTTGATCTCAAGCTAGTGACTAAACCTACATATGTACATAGTTTGGTCATCACAAAGTTGTAACCGGAGATCCTGGTGAAAAAAGTGAGGAAAGTAATAAGTTACTGGAGAAAACATCAAATGATCATACATCCGTTTCATGCGAATATTGCATGACGCTTTGCATGACCGTCCAATCCATAATACAAATAAAAAAAAATAAAAAAAAAAATATTGCAGTTATATTCGTAAAGAAGAACAGAATTCTGAAACGGTTATGTAAAGGAAAATGTATCTTTTCATGATAACCATCCTTTTTCTTAAGCTATTTCAAAGAAAAAAATATAGATCGAATTCATTCATAAGATGCTTGGTTAGAATATCTTTCAAAAAAATTACGTAAAATTAGTTGTTATAAAATACGCCACGAAAATATTCCGTAAAATTATTTTGTAAAAAGCAGGTGCTAAAGGGTTTTGGGGAAATAAAGGGTTAAAGTTTGATACAATAAGAAATAAGAAACACAACTTCACGCGTGCAAAGACATGGGCGACAGTTAGTTTAATTCCGTCGTAACAGAACTTGCATCTGGTTTGTTCATTTCTGATAGATTTTCAGGGCCCAAGGCTATGACATCACCACAACGTGTAAACAACATGTGCTAAAATCAATTTAGGCATCGTAACGTACTTCTCATACGCAATATAATGTGGATAAGATGATAATAATGTGTTAATAACATAATATTTATGATGGTAGATCTATAGTCGGTACTCGGTAACAAGGCTAGAAAATATTATA